AGTAACATGCACTGGGTTTCTTGATGATATTGATAACCCATTGGCAGTCCCGAACGTCACTCAAGTCATACTGTCTGGTGCGAGCAAGCAACCAAGGGAGATATCGGCTTTCCTGCTCTTAGTTCGATACAATGCTATGGCGCAACTTATAAAACCTCACCCGCAGGACGGACCTTTCTCCACTTTCTATAACAGATCTCGCCTCCAGAGAAACCATGACAGCCACGTCCACTGTGTCACTCGTCAAAGAACTTCTTAAAGTCGTCGGATCGCTCGAAGAGCAAGGAGTGAATGGTCATCTACAGCCGCAACAGGCTTACGAGGCAACAAGGCGAGTGGAGGCCCTCACCGACGAGATCAAAAGGGCGGTGCTCGGACCCCTGGAGTACACCATTCAGATCGCAGGCAGCTCTCTGTCTCATTCTAATCGTACAACATACTGGATTTAAAATAATAGAATCTTTCCAAGAAAGCTCAGCTCTGCGATTCGTCACAGAACTTGGAGTCGCAGACGTGATAGGGGATGACGTTAAGACGCTTTTCGCTGTCAGCCAGCAAACGAGAGTTGATAAGCTATACTTGGGCAAGTGGCTAAACCTTCTTTAAGTTGCCTCTGGCCTTTCTGACGTTCTGGTGGTATTCGCCGTATGCAGGTACTACCATAAGCTGCCTCGTCGCCCATGGATACTTCGAAGTTGATGGCTTCGGGTCTCGAGTATACAGGAACAATGACATGTTCAATATCCTTCGATCTCACGACAGCAATACTCTCTGTGATGCAATCGGCTTTATGTAAGCGCTTATTACGTCGTTCTGTAAGATCTGTACTGATGCTGCCCAGCTGCGATGACGAGTTCAAATCGGCCGCGCACCTTGTTGAGACTGCACGTGCGGCAGGTAACACAGGAGGCAAGAAGACCAAAGCCGCATTCCATGTTGCTTTCGGGTTCGATCGCCCCGTCTTCGAGTGGTATTCCGATCCCGCGCAAGTCTGGCGAGGACAGAGGATGAGCCGCGCCATGGAGCAACTGCACAGGATGGCCAATGGGAACGTCGTGACAGGCACGCACCAGTTCCTTACTCTCCGCAGACCGCGATCCTTCGGAGAACGAAGCATTGAACGACGCGTTAACAGACTTCGACTGGTGCGCGCTCGATGGCCCAGTCGTCGACGTTGGCGGCGGCATCGGGGCTCTCGAGATGGCAGTGATGAAGGCCTACCCAGACACGGCTCCTCTCTATTATCCTCGATAATGCTGAGACAGCCGCGGATGCACGCAAGGTACAATTCCTCCGCGTCGCACACCCCTGCTTGCTGCCCTTTCTGGGCTTTCTCTCTGAGCTTTGCTGACCCCTCCCCGTAGGCCTGGAGCACCCAGCCTGCCGTGGCGCAGACCCGCGTCTCGTTCGCCGCCGGCGACTTCCTCGCGCCGACCCTGGACGCCACAGGACTCCCCCGCGGCCAGCCGACGTACCTCATCCGCCACGTTCTGCACGACTGGACGGACGATGAGGCGGCGGGGATTCTCGGCAACGTGCGCGCCGCGATGATCGCGTCCGACGCCGCAGGGACGCGCAAGGCGCAAGGCCAAGCGCCGAAGCTACTGCTGTGCGAGATGCTGCTGCAGGAGCGCAGCGGCCGGTTCGTGTACACGACCAGCATGCAGGCTCTTTCGCTGAACAATGGGAGGACGCGCACAGAGGCGGAGATGTGCGGCCTGCTGAAACGCGCGGGGTTCAGTGAAGGTGCACGTGATGCGTGCAGTAGATTCTATCATAAAAGCTGTCCCTGCTGACCTTTAGCTTTCACTTTTTATGAACCATAGTGGTCAGGCTTGGAGCTGTTCCTTGGAGTTTTATGCACATTAACTAAATACTGTACTTTTACGACCATACCGGATGTCACATGTCGCACCAGCTTTCCGCTGACACTGCCAATAATTCTCTTCTCGATTTATGGCGATTTTGGCGACTTGTCGGAAAAACCCAATTTGGGCACTCTCATCTGGTACGGTCGTAAGCATTTGCCCATCAGGCCGCCACCTCAAGCGCGGTAAATCGTTGATGTGGTAGCAGTGACAGTGTTTGGCGATCCTCCTGCGTTTGTTCTGGGTCGTCGATCTGCGATGTCGACGAGCTCAGGCTCCGAGGCTCTTGGTTTGTTAACCAGTTAAGACAACTTGTTGCACGTCGCCTGCGGCCTCTTCGGTTACTTATTCTTGTAAACGATGCGTATTGTGCTCTGCAGCTGCGAGAGCTCGACGTAGGTGACAGATAGGTCATCTAGCATGTGACTATCTGCCGATTTTCCGCCTCTCGTGCGGGACGGCTAAGCGAGACCAGCTAATATTCGCGCGGACGGGGCCAGGTACTCCCAAAAGTATATGTCATGATTTCGCGCAAA